GTAAACAGAATAGTTGATGGGATATTGTAACCACAGCTAAAATTGTTTGATAAATACCACAAGGTAGATCTGCAGGACAGCTGATGCAGTGCTAGATAGTATTCCCGCCTGCCATCTATCATGCAGGTAGTTTGCAGTACACTGAAACATATCCGTTTACCTTGTTTGACTTGACTAAGATTAGCTTATCTACGCCTGTTGGTGATTGTGATTACCAAGTGGTCGTTCAGTCATACTTGTGCATTGTACAATCTTAGCTTATACTGACATGTTATAGATAGGGTTAATATCGTCAGTTGTAAGACAATGCTCAATTCATAATGGTGAAAATATGGAATTTGAACTGTATAGAAATTCAAGGTGTGTTGATGGAGCGTTTCATGATTCGACATCAACATAATCTGACTACTATGCAAAATGAGAACAAATTTGAATATAATTAAAAGTCAAGATTTTTATTTGCATAAACAATATGTTTTTTGATTGTATCAACATCATATGCATAGTATTGATACAAATACAATAATTACACTTTGAAACTTTTGCAAAAAGTGTTATTTGTTTCTAGGGAATTACACATTCTGTGAAGATGAGCGTAAAAATGTACAACTCCTTGTGTTCAGTGTTGATAATTTATAGGGTCTCAAATATTACAGCAGCAAACATCCAGTTTCTAAAACTGGGTACACATAGAAAATATTGGAATAAATATCAGGCGAGGAAGCTATATGTTAGCATCAATATTACTCTTGTTGAAATCTTTTTAACTCTTGAGATTTATTGTTTACTTTTTGGGTACAAATATACAATGCTATGAGGACTTTTAGACATTACTTAGATCATGTAATTTTTTTACAGTATCATCAATTAATTGTATATTCTGATAATTGACCTGACCCGTGAAGATCCAGGTTAGAATTAATGTTCAGTAACCCATACTTGTCGTAAGAGGCAACTAACGAGATCGGGTGGTCAGGCTCGCTGACTTGGTTGACACATATATCCCAATTGCTTAGGTCGATGCTCATGCTGTTGATCACTGGATTGTCTGGTCCAGACTCAGTTATTTACAGACCGCCACCCTATAGCTGGTATACTGCTGAGTGTGGCGTAAAGCTAATCTCACTTATGCATTCACTCAATCTCTCGACCAACTGAAAAAATTGTCCCACGTGAGACCCAGTGATGGGTCATTTAGGTTTTGATGTCTACATATCTCCAGCAGACTGCCTCCGTGGTGTAGTGGTTAGAGCGTCCGCCCGGAATGCGGTCGCGGGTTCAATCCCGACCGCATCATACCAAAAGATGTTAAAATATGGTACTTGTTGGTCCCTGTCTGGCGCTCAGCAATAATGGGTACAACAAGGACTGGTCAGCTCGGAGTCAGTATAATGTGTCTGAGTGGGGTATTTCTGCTTCACTGCGGCATGGTATCTCAGTGGGCTAGCACTATAAAACCAGCTTCAGTCTGGGCTAGCACAAGCAACCGCACATACACATACACACGCATGCACGTCGTCATATGAGCGAAATATTCTCAAGCACAACGTTAAACCCAATTCCACCATCACATACCTCCAGCAGCCCATCAAGAATGACTAACAGAGTTTGATGGATGTATAGACACGATAGAGGTCATCTGACAGCATGGTTGTCATTTTAACTGTATACATAATAGAAGCAGGGAAACTTGCCACTGATGCAATCTTTCTGTTGAGAGGGCCCGTGAGGTAGCCTAGTGGTTAAAGCGTTCGCTCGTCATTTCAAAGGCCCGGGTTCAATTCCCACGAGTACAATGTGTGAAGCCCATTTCTCGTGTCTCCACCGTGATATTGTTGGCATATTGCTAACGGGCGTAAAACTAAACTCACTCATTCGTCTTTCTGTTGAGACGAGAAAGAAAGTCAAGTTTGACTGAGTATACATTTCTTATGATGTTTGGACAAATTGTTTGACTCGACTCATGCTTTAAAAACCCTTTTATGGCACTATTTTGTATGATTTATTCACTTTTATGAAAAAAGGTTAAAAGTGTATTTAGATGTCAGTAGATAGTGACTTTTAGATTGCAATATTTCCTTACTTTAAACAAGAAATCTTGTTACAGGAAAAATCAATGTTTTGGTACAATTTGATGTGAGTACCAACTGCTGTTTTCATTTAGGGTAGTGCTTTAGATGCTAGTTATTAATTAATTAATCAGCAGAAGCATACAGTATGCTATTTAATGACAAATTCAGAAACATTTCTCATGATTGATAAAGATATCAGGTTTCACATAAAGGTTACATCCACTGGGGTATGATCAGCCCTTTTGCCTAAGTTGCCACAAATTGCCGCAGAGAGTAGCTTCCCTTAGTGTGCCAGAAGCCTATGACCATTGGTTCGAATCCCAGTTATTTCTGATCCTGTTTTTAGGTTTGTCAGCACCTTGCTTATGGGTTTCCCCAATGTGGTGAGTGTCTCAGAGTAATAGTAAGCCCCTCATCATTTCACCTTTCCTCCAAGATCAAGCTAACACTGCGATATGACTGACTCACAGATTAATGGAGGTATATCTAGATCTGATCAGAGACCAATAGTTGTCCTTTGGCCAATTGCCAGTAGAAATTCTCGTGGTTAATTTTATATTATTACACTCAACACATTATTAAAATACCAAAATTACAAAATGTTAACTTCTATTCAATTTCAACCATACATTATTATTTTTTTATAATTTTCCTGCCAAGTGTATTTAGTTAAGAATCTTAGAAAAAAATCCTTTTTAAGAGGCATTAATCCCAAATCACAGACAATTTACAATTTTTCTTTTGTGGAATGAAAGACATTTATATTTTTTGATCAGTTGATTAGTAAATACAGGGCAGGCTTGATACTTGTGCTCGGCGTGCTACGCAGTATACAACTTCATCAAGCCCATTCTGGACTGAGCTAAGTATGTGCTAATTGGCTAATTGTGACTTCCAGCACTGGGGCATGGTGCAGTGGAGTGTAAAACAATATGTAATGCCCCACCTTAACAATCCTCTGTATGCCTAACATGCAATATATCACTTATCTGGGCTGGAATCAAAAGAACCAGAAAGAACGGCCATATATATGTTTCTTCTCAATGGTTTTATGACCTAAGAAATGACAAGATAGACTTGCACTGCAAAGATGAAAATCTGGTTTTTAGGTAACAGTCTGTTAAATATTACTTGCAGATTTAGTCCTGTTATTTTTTTACCAATTGTAGATCCTGGTTTTCTGTAGATAATTAGTTTTGCCATGCCAATGGTGACAGAATGAATTACTTCTCTAGCTAGTATTTCTCTGGCAACTAATGCTCTAATGTGATGTTTTAGTTATTTACAAGTATATCATAGAAGTTGTGGAATATTTTGTTTAAAAAGATAATTGATCTTTAGATGGAAATTCTGAAATTTGTGATTTCATTTTGCATATTCTTATGAACTGGTAGATAAGGTATGTGTTTGAAAATATGTTTTTTGAGGAACGCAGCTGTGTCAAATTACCAGTCAGACTAGTCACGAAAGCATTTCTATTGCATGTGTTTACAATCTGCACTACATCTGGACAGGATCTAATGAATCATTAAAAGTAGAATCTCTGTACAGTTTATAGTGGGGTTTAATCAGTAGACTAACAGCTCTATCCTGGGGCTCACCTCTTGAGAAACACTTCAAGTCAATGAGTTTGCTTAATGTAGCTATTCTGCTAATTTTTCCTGATTGTTGATTGCTTTTTGCTTAAGCCAGAGTAGTATTTATCCAGAAGTTATGTCAAGAATATTGGTGTTTAGTACGGCTGTTACAATTCGCTTGTGTATTCAGTGAGTCAATTTTTAACTATGAATTCAATTTGTTATATTGCAGTCAATAGAATTGAATATTCATGAATTTTTTAAAAAGAGTGTACTTACTTGAATCTTGATATCACTTATAAAAATGAGATATGCTAAATGGAAACATATCCAAACCACACAGGATAACAGCCAGCACTTTGAAATATTTAATTTGATAGTAATTTAGTCACCGGTCCTAGTCATGACGAACTAACACTGTCCCAATGGTCAAAATATGTCTTGTCATGACAAACTAACACTGTCCCAATGGTCAAAATATGTCTTGTCATGACAAACTAACACTGTCACAATGGTCAAAATATGTCTTGTCATGACAAACTAACACTGTCACAATGGTCAAAATATGTCTTGTCATGACAAACTAACACTGTCACAATGGTCAAAATATGTCTTGTCATGACAAACTAACACTGTCACAATGGTCAAAATATGTCTTGTCATGACAAACTAACACTGTCACAATGGTCAAAATATGTCTAAGAATTTTTCTCATTGTTTCACTGAATATATGGAATAATACATCAAATGCGGACATGTTTTTGTATTCATAACCCAATATTCATATTTCTGGCCCAATATTCATATGTATCATTATCACCTTCATGTTTAGTTTTGAAAGAAGCAATGATTATCAACAACTCACTCAGTATATCCAGACCTGATTAGATATGCACCTGGAAAGAGGTGCTCACATTATTGATCATTGAATTGTCTACAGAATAATTCCTGTTGCTACATAGTCACCATGTTACTTGTAATGATTCATGCAAATTCAGTGTTTTAAATCAAGAATGTCATGATGTTAAAGATGCCATAATTCCTCAATTAAAGGCTACACCATGAAAGATGCTGGAGACTTGATGCCAGGCCTCAATTAAAAGCAGGGTAGTTTTTATGCACAGAATTCTCCCAGCTGTTACCTTTGCACCTGAACGACAAAGGGTATAGTGTTTCCAAAGAGGCTGGGATTTTAAGCAAATAAAAATGGTAAACTGAATGGCAGCTTCCAGATTGACCACATCAGCAGACCTCCTTGACGTCAGGACCATTCTTGAATTCAAACACTAATTGTTGTTACATTTGTATTTGTCTTCATGATTTTAAGCACTCTTTCTTTGATCTGTTTCAGTCCTACTTTGTGACGGACTATGACCCCACGATAGAAGATTCCTATACCAAACAATGTGTTATAGATGAAGTTGTGGCCAGACTAGACAGTAAGTATAGCATACAACAGAATTGTAGTTCTAGTCTAACGGATCCCTTGTCACTCTAGCAGATTCCTCTACTAAACAATGTGTTATGGTGTGTGTGGCCAGTGGTAGACACCCAGTATATCTTATACCACCTTGTTGGTCCTACCGGGAAGATCCAGGTCTTCATTAACCTGGCCGACATGCTTGTTGGAAGAGGCGACTAACTGGATCGAGTGGTCAGGCTAGCTGACTTGGCAGACACATGTAATCATATCCCAATTACGCGTAGATGGATGCTCATGTTGTTGATCACTGGATTGTCTGGTCCAGAATCGATTATTTACAGACCGCCACCATATAGCTGGAATATTGCTGAGTGCAGCATTAAACAACAAACCCACCAACCAACCAACTTTGTTGGTCCATTCTGTTTGGTCACTCTCGAAGATTCCTCTACAATGTCTTAATTTCAAACACTGTGGCTGTTGGTCTTTTGGTATGTGTCAAGTAGAAATATCAGTGGATGTGCTACTACCGAAGTCATTGATCCAGTGGGCTGTTCTCGAAAACCATGAATAATGAGACTTTTCAGGAACTTGAACCTGTGCAAAATAAAGTCCCCATTAACAGGCAGAATGTTTTCTACATATTGATAATCATATTTGGCATTCAGCAGATATGTTCAGGAATTATTTTTGTGTGTGGACATGGTGAATGATAGCGGTGATTCCACAGGACGTTCCATGTTCAGTCCTATTTAACTTGCATAACCTAAATCTATCTATCTTCCATATCAGTCAGCCTTACACATAGTAAAAGTTAAGAGAGCTTTTTCTGATGCTGGTGTGATAAAAAACCACTTTATTTGCGAGGCAATTACTACACCTAGTTAGTGTGTCAGATTTGCTGTGTCTGTTGATGGCGAGTGTAGATGGGGACCCAGCAGCTTACATTGAGGTATTTTTTTATTGTAGACGAGCCAACTGTATGAATTACCAATTAGCCTTCCCAGCACAGGAAGTTGGATGTGAGAGATCGTTCTGTGTGTTCTCAAGTCTTTTTGCAAATGTGTTGAGAAATGTGGTCACAGTTTGAGCAGTAAAGTATACTTATGGTCAGAATCCATTTTTCTGTGGAGAACCGTTATGGATGTACTGATTTGTACTCACTAATGTAAAGTAAGAACAGTTTCAGATGAACTGCATCAACTGGTTTCATTGTCTTAGAATAAAAAGCAGTTCTTTTTTAACTGGTCATTGGGGGTGCTCCAGGAAATATGCCCAACCCTGGCCAAAAACAGTCTGACCCATGTTCAAAGTTTGGGAGCAGAAATTGAATGTGTTTTATCATTCAAAACTGGCTTTCATTCGGCTGCAGTGAATTTTCTTCACATTAGTTTGCAGTCTGTTGTGATCTTGTTGGTTACCATGGTGTCATGATCAACTGACTGAAGATCAGGGGTAGAATAGGTCTTCAGCAACCCATGCTTGCCACAAAAGGCCACAATGCTTGTCGTAAGAGGTGACTAACGGGATCGGGTGGTCAGGCTCACTGACTTAGTTGACACATGTCATCGGTTCCCAATTACGCAGATCGATGCTCATGCTGTTGATCACTGGATTGTCTGGTTCAGACTCGATTATTTTCAGACTGCCGCCATATAGCTGGAATATTGCTGAGTGCGGCCTAAAACTAAACTCACTCAATCACTCATGATCAACTGACATCACAAGTGTCTTACCCAAGGGTTAACAAGTGGATCAGGTGTTGAGACTCAACAACTAGTGCTAGTTCTGTGTATTTAGAATGGATCCTAAATAACATGTGTCTTACGTAAGAGTTAACAAGTGGATCAGGTGTTCATACTCAACATCTAGTGTTAGTTCTGTGTATCTAGAATGGATCCTAAATAACATGTCTTGTCTGGTTAACAAGTGGAATCAGGTGTTCAGACTCAACATCTAGTGTTAGTTCTGTGTATCTAGAATGGATCCTAAGTAACATGTCTTGTCTGGTTAACAAGTGGATCAGGTGTTCAGACTCAACATCTAGTGTTAGTTCTGTGTATCTAGAATGGATCCTAAGTAACATGTCTTGTCTGGTTAACAAGTGGATCAGGTGTTCAGACTCAACATCTAGTGTTAGTTCTGTGTATCTAGAATGGATCCTAAGTAACATGTCTTGTCTGGTTAACAAGTGGATCAGGGTTTCATACTCAACATCTAGTGTTAGTTCTGTGTATCTAGAATGGATCCTAAGTAACATGTCTTGTCTGGTTAACAAGTGGATCAGGTGTTCAGACTCAACATCTAGTGTTAGTTCTGTGTATCTAGAATGGATCCTAAGTAACATGTCTTGTCTGGTTAACAAGTGGATCAGGTGTTCAGACTCAACATCTAGTGTTAGTTCTGTGTATCTAGAATGGATCCTAAGTAACATGTCTTGTCTGGTTAACAAGTGGATCAGGTGTTCAGTGTTACTGTGTATCTAGAATGGATCAAGTCATGTCTTGTCTGGTTAGTGGATCAGTTAGTCAACATCTAGTGTTAGTTCTGTGTATCTAGAATGGATCCTAAGTAACATGTCTTGTCTGGTTAACAAGTGGATCAGGGTTTCAGACTCAACATCTAGTGTTAGTTCTGTGTATTTAGAATGGATCCTAAATAACGTGTCTTACGTGAAGAGTTAACAAGTGGATCAGGTGTTCATACTCAACATCTAGTGTTAGTTCTGTGTATCTAGAATGGATCCTAAATAACGTGTCTTGTCTGTTAACAAGTGGATCAGGTGTTCATACTCAACATCTAGTGTTAGTTCTGTGTATCTAGAATGGATCCTAACATGTCTTGTCTGGTTAACAAGTGGATCAGGTGTTGAGACTCAACATCTAGTGTTAGTTCTGTGTATCTAGAATGGATCCTAAGTAACATGTCTTGTCTGGTTAACAAGTGGATCAGGTGTTCAGACTCAACATCTAGTGTTAGTTCTGTGTATCTAGAATGGATCCTAAGTAACATGTCTTGTCTGGTTAACAAGTGGATCAGGGTTTCAGACTCAGAGTCTTGGTTGATTGTATGGCACTGTACTTATTGGCATTGGTTGCTTATAAAAAGAAAATGAGAAGACAGCAAATTGTTTACTTCACGAAGGAAACAGGAAACAGGAATTATTTAAATCAGTGGAGAGTATTTTTAGACATGAACCAAGATGTGATAAACTGAGATTGTCTGAAAACCTTTCCTGCACATTTGATAAAGTGAGTTACTCTTTGCCATTGTGTATGATGTGTCAAACACGACACACTGAAAAACAGCTATATTTAGGCTGATATCAAACACACCCACTGTCGTCTGTATGGCAAATAGTTTCACATGTTTATTGAATCGTAGTTTGGGGTTGCAAGATTAGATATCATGTTTCCATTTATTTTAGAGAAACAGGAAATGTTCTGGCCTTGGAATATCTGGTATATTCCTAAAAACAGTTATTAGATTCACCTGACGAAGGGGCAAGGAAAAGCCCAGAAACGTTGTGTATGCACTAAAGAAGAAGTTGTCATCCATGACATTTTGTCTTATACTTGAATACCAACTTCTATATGCCTTTCAAGAACCTCTGGCGGTGGGGTAGCCTAATGGTTAAAGCGTCCGCTCGGCACGCCAAAGACCCGGGTTCGAATCCCCACATGGGCACAATGGGTGAAGCCCATTTCTGGTGTCCATGATATTGCTGGAATATTGCTAAAAGCGGCATAAAATCATACTCAAGACTCTCAGTTATTGGATCTTATTTTGATATGATTAGACTGATTGACACAATAGAAATGTTAATGTATTGTGCATGGTTAGCAACAAAGGTGTTGTATAGAGATTGTGACCAAGTATGTTTTCCTAAATTGTAAATGTGATTAATATATTAATTGATGTCTGGTTCAGATTTGATCATTCACAGACTGCCACCATATAGCTGGAACATTGCTGAGTGGGTTGTTAAACAACAAACAATCATATTTAATTGTATTATGTTAGCCTTGGCTGATGTTAGACTTAAAATAACCGAAGTTGAAGACATATTTTATTTATTATTTTATATTTTTATTTTCTTGTGTCTTTTAATTAGAAAGCCTGTAAAGTTTTACACTGTTCTCTTTGTTATTTAGTGGCATTCAATTTACAGTAATGGTAGCAAGTTTCGAAACATTTAGGTTGTTGGATGTTTGAGGAATCAGATCGATATACAGAGCATACCTGAAGTTAGTTCCTGCTAGATAACCCCATGTGCTTATTATGGAATTGCCATACCTGGGAAGTATATTAGGTTAGTTTATTGAACACTATTTGTTATAAAAATCTGAATGTTTCTATTTCAATTAACCATGTTAATTTTGTAGCTGTGTTATGGTTATAATAGTTATTCAAAATATGGTCACCAGAAATGTGCCTCACACATTTGACCTATGTGGGGAATCGAACCCGGGTCTTCGCCGTGATGCCAGTGAACGCTTTAACCACTAGGCTACCCCACCGTCCCTTCACGAGGCATAAAGTGACATAGTGGGTATTATTTTTACTGAAATACTTTTGAAGGTACACCTACTCATTCCTTCTGCTCTAAACTGAGACAAGATTAAGATTACGAGGCAGTCCTAGCCTGATTGGTTCGAGCTTTTCAAACAGAACTTTGGTTTTTAAGGATAATGACCAGATCTCCTGCCTTATGTCAGACACTGTAGCCCAAAGGTTCAGGTTTAAATCAACTGAAGTGATGTCAGTGTTTTCATCGTTATTTTGAGACCTAGTTTCTTCAGAAGACGTTACTGTGCTATCCATATATTTTGCAATAGTTCCGTATGTTTTGTCCAACTATATGAACTCGCATATGCATGAAAGGCTAATCTTCAACACACCTAGGCTCTCTTTAAACAGGCGACCTTGGCCTGAAGGATGATACAAACTCCTTTAGTAAGATAGACTTACGACAGTCTTAGCGCCATGATTCACTAACAGGTTTGAGACGATATT